ATAGTTTCCCTCGAAACAGAAAGTTTTTGTCTCACTTAAGACAGTTTCTTTTGTCTCATTAAGACAGTTTCTCTTTAAACATAAACATTGAAAACATTCCCTTGAAATGAATTTTGTCTCTTGAGATAGTTTCCCTTGAAACAAAATTTGTCTCCCTTGAGACAGTTTCTCTTGAAACATAAACATTGAAAACATTCCTTGGAACAAAATTTGTCTCCTTGAGACAGTTTCTCTTGAAACATAAACATTGAAAGCATTTCCCTTGAAATAAATTGTCTCTCTTAAGATAGTTTCCCTTGAAACAAAATTCTGTCTCCCTTGAGACAATTTCTCTTGAAACATAAACTTTGAAAACATTTCCCTTGAAATGAATTTTGTCTCTCTTGAGATAGTTTCCCTTGAAACAAATTTTGTCTCCTTTGAGACAGTTTCTATTGAAACATAAACTTTGAAAACAGTTCCTTGAAACAAAATTTGAATATGTTTTACATTAAACAAATTCGTCTCTCTTGAGACAGTTTCTCTTGAACAAATTTTGTCTCTCTTAAGACATGTTTTTCTTAAAACAAAATTTGTCTCCCTGAGACAGTTTCTCTTGAAACATCAATCCTTGAATATGTTTTTTTGTGTCACCCTTGATACAGTTTCTCTTGAAACACAAAATGAAACCTTTGAAATTGTTTCTCTTGAAACACAAAAACCTTTGAAAATGTTCTCTTGAAACACAAAACCTTTGAGATTGTTTCCCTTGAAACAAATTCGTCTCCCTTGAGACAGTTTCTCTTGAAACACAAAATCTTTGAGTTTATTTCCCTTAAAACAAAATTTGTCTCCTTGAGGCCGTTCTCATGAAACAACATTTATCTTTAAGATCGTTTCCCTTGAAACGAATTCTGTCTTTTTTAAGACAACTTCTCTTGAAGTATCATTTAAACCGTTACACTCAGCTCAGGCACATACTTGGGATGGTCGAGAAACATTTCTCAAATCAAAAATAGAATGTGCACATCAGATTTGAACATTGAAGAATTCGAGATCAAGGATCAGAACTGAAGATTCCAGAACTAAGATTCGAGAAGCAACCGGAGATCGAGATTTCTCTCCTGAGCCCAAAAATAACATATGTTGCATATGCATTTTAGGCATACCTAAGAGCATTGCATCCATCTTATCACATATATACATAACTTTTTCAGGTTTTAGCTAGAGCCAATTTCAACTTCACAGCGAATGATATTGGACTCAAGACAACACAAGTTCAACTTCACAACGAAGGGACGACTGGTTGTCAACAAACAATTTCCCAATTTCGGAGCCAATTTCAACTTCACATTGAAGGGCATTGGACTCGAGACAGCACAAGTTCAACTTCACAACGAAGGGACGACTGACTGTCAACAAAACAATTTCCCAGTTCCAGAACCAACTTCAACTTCACGACAAAAGATATTGGACTCGGAACAGCAGGACCTGAATCGAATTTCAACTTCACGACGAAGGATATCCAATTCTCAGGCTCAACTTCATCTGTAACACCACAACAGATTCACGAACAGATGGACACAACTTCATCTGTAACACCACAACACCAAAGTCTTCAAGACGAGTTTCAGCTTCACAACGAAGTATATTTGGCTAGAAGACAATCCAAGAGCTACTTCCAGTACTCTGAGTTCGATTTCAACTTCACGACGAAGGATTTCAGGCTCAGAATTTTCCAGTTTTGACTCAATCGCACGACAAGGGGGTCATTTCATATTGACAAATCATTTCAAGATGGATTCGACTTCGCGACGGAGGAGCCATCCGCAACTCAATTCGACATGGAGTTATTCTTCGACTCCACTGAACGAAATTTGTGTCTTTTTATCTTTGTCCTTTTTGTCCACGAAAAGGACAAAGAGGGGCAGCTGTAGACACCTATTTTCTTAAAAGATATAACTAGCAAGAGTTTCTCTCATAAGGGGACTCTTCCACCACCATATCTTTTAAATCAACAACTACACCAACAAACGTGCAACAACCGAGCAAGGAGTCTAGTTACATTAGGATTCTATTGTTGATAGGATTCTAAGAATAGTTAGTTTTTTTTCACTATAAATACATGTAATCCTCCCCATTTGTAATACACGGATTGTGATACGAAATACAAGCAGAAATTACAAGCAATCTTAGAGTGAAATTAGAGTTTTTTTTTCCTGCAAATTTTCGAAGAGAATTACAAGGTAAATATAGTATCTTTTTCGAGTTTATGCTTGCATGCTTGTGTCTTGTTACATTTTGTATTCGAAAAACACCAAAGAAAACGATTTTTTTTTGCCGATGAACAGGGGCATTTTTCGGGATCTATTTTTATAGATCTAGCCCCCGAGGCTTCTTTTCTTGAGAAAATACTTTGATTTTCGGAATGGGTGTGAAAAAGGGGTAATCTCACTCTTGGTCCCCTCTATTTTTTAAAGTATTTAATTGCCCCCCAAAATCAATGTTTTCTCTTCAAAATTGGACCTTCACGTTTCGATTCTTTCGATTTAGTCACTTTTTGAAATCCAATTTTTTCCTCATTTTATTTATTGTATATTTTTTATTATATTTATTTACTTTCACGTTATTATATATACACATTTTTTTTGTTTACTATTATTTTATTATTATTATTTTCTCATGTATATATATATTCTTTTCTTATTTATTTTGTCTTCCTAATGTTTATTTACACATGTATATATATTTTTCTTTTCTTACCTTTATTTATTTTATATATAATATTAATATATATATATATATATATATATATATATATATATATTATTTAAGTATACTTTCTTTTCATTTACAATATTTCTCTATTTTTGTTTCGAATTATTTATATTATATTAAATTTTTTCTTATATTATATATTATGTCATTATTTATATGTATAAGTAGAGATGTATTATTATTTAGTTACTACGTATATTTTTTGTTATTATATTTTGTTCTATATATTTCTATATATATTTCTTATTTTTTCTATTATTATATTTATTTAATACTATGTACATCTTCATTTTTTGTTGTGTTTTATCTTTTTTTTTATCTAACGTGTTTCTTGACTTTTCAAGGGTGTTTTTTAAAATAATCAGAGGTAAGTAATCAAGGCCAAATTTTACCTTTTAATTTAAACTTACAATTTTCTTAATTTAAAACAACTGGAAATTAAGTAGTACCGAAAGGGCAGTTCAAGGGTGCTAACCCTTCCTTGACTGTAACCGACTCCCGAATCCGACATGTCTCTGGTAAAACGCAGATCAGGTAAGAAATAAGGTATTTGGTCTACCTATTTGTTTTAAAATAAAAGATCGGTGGCGACTCCAATCCATTTAATCTAAGTCGAAGCCCAATTCCGGGGCCCAACCGAAAGACTATTGCGACACATTTATTGATTATAATTTAATTCAAACTCGACCTATAAAATACATTAGAGTTTGTGATATTTTTGTATTGACTTGGACTGAAAAGTTTATGGTATGATCTATTTGATTAAAAAACAAAATTTTAATTATAAATTTTATTATCTATTAAAATTTTAAATTAGATATTTACCGTTTAATTATAAATATAATATTTTTATTGAACTCAAAAATAATAATATACTATTTATGTTTGAGTAAATATTATTCTAAATATATTTATAAATGATATTATATTGTTATATCATCAATAATATTTTAATATTAACTTATAAATAAAAATAGATATCTCTATATTGTAAAAGTAAGATTGTGTAGTATAAAAATAAACTATTTTTATATTAAATTTAAATAACCATATTTTTTCATATTGCATATTGGGAATATGGTTTTGTTGTTGTTGTATATTTTTTCATATACAAAAGAATTAAAATAATTTGTGAATTAATTTAATAGTTTTAGAAAGTTATTTTAGTAGTTCAAAAGTGAAATATTAAATTAATAATGAATTGAATCATATGACCCTAAACTAAGACTCTTATTTTAAATTAGTTTTTAAAATTTTAAATATTACAATTTCATCCTTAAATTATGACTCTCATTCTAAATTAATCCTTAAACTTTTGAACATTCAAATTGCATCCGCAAACTATGAATCTCATTCTAAATTGGTCCCTAAACTTTTTGATCTTTCAATTTCATCCCTAAATTCATCAAAATATGTAATCCATTTCAACCATAGTTTAACCTAAATTTTATTTTCTCAAACATATAATAATATAACTTGCCTAATGATTTTATTAACAAGAGATGTGATTAGTATATATGAATAATTTAGGATAAAATTGAAATATTCAAAAAGTTTGGAGATGAAAACGAAATGTTCAAAAGTTTGAGGACAAATCTATAACAATAGTTATAGTTTAAGGATGAAATGGAAATGTTTAAAAGTTTAGGGACTAATTTGAAATGAGGTTCATAGATTGAGGGCATATAATGTAATTAACTCATTAATAATTCATAATTTGATTTAAATAAATTGAAAGTCAATTTAATAAGTTATTTTAATATTTTTATACATTTTAACTCAATTATCGGGTTAAAATCGGGTAAATGTTCAGTTCAAATCGGGTTTGGATTAATGAAAATTAGGTTACTTTCGGTTCAGGTTATTTTCGGTTCAATTGCTTTCGGTTTAACTAAAATTCGGGTCGATTTCGGTTCGGTTTGGGTTACTTTCGGTTTAGCTAAAATTCGGGTCAATTTCAGTTCGATTCGATTTTTTAGGTTTCGGGTCAAATTTGAACCTTTATGTTCGGGTAAATTGGTTAAGATAATCGGGTTCGGTCAAGTTTGTCAGGATAATCGGTTTACCTAATTTTTTTGTTTTTATAATGTATAGTTGTTCCGGGGTTATTACCAGTAACTGTCGATTTGCTCGAGCTTTTATGTGTATTGTTAACTTGTTATCGTGCTTGTTTATTGTCGATTAGGCATCTTCATTCTTTTAGCACTCTTAGATTTTGTTAATAGTTTTTTGTTTTTGTGCAGGTTACCTTCACAATGAATTTTCCCTTCAGCAGCACACACGAGGATTCTGCAACTTCTCAGATGGAAATCCTCAGTTGTCCATTTTTTAGAAACATTAATGAGCCGACTAACTTTTCTTTCTCGTCGTCCATGCCTTTTCCCATGCCGGTAAGATCATGGTTCATTTAGACTTGTGTGTCTATCATGAGCTTTTATGTTTCTTGAATCATGTTCTTTAGTTCTCATTAGTCTCTGCCTCAGGTACGAGGAGCCAAAGGTCCAATTTTCGAAGATGGACCCAATTTCATGGCATTCAGGATTTTCCATGGACAGGACGGAGTAGTTCCTCTGTCACAACGATCATCCTTGCATGCTAAGAAAGAAGAGCCGGAAACAGCCCTACCCAAGTTCAATGCATTGGTTGCAAGGGCAGCCACCATTAGTCTCTCACCCTTTGGACCTTGGGGGGGGGGGGCATTCAGTGTTGATGCATTTTCTAACAAGTGGAACAATCAGAACGGAAAACCAAAACAATCCAAGAAAGAATCTTCTTCACAGGTAACCGAGCCTCGTTTGTGGAATGCGGCATTAGTTCGGAGTACGTACCTATGTTTATAAACTGAGAATGTTCATCGAATGTCTGAACGATTTTATATTATTATGCTTTTCAACTTTCCTTTATTGACATCATTTTATGATTTGATGATTCAGGGAGGTAATCCCCATCACGAGGCGTTAGGCAATGAGTGGCTGCGAAATGGTAACTGTCCGATAGCCAAATCATAAAGGGCTATTAGCGGTGTTATGCCACTTGTTGCCAAGGTTTTAAAACCGCCTCCAGGGATGAAATTCAGGTGCCCACCTGAGGCGTTAGGCAATGAGTGGCTGCAAAATGGTAACTGTCCGTTAGTTATATAGGGCTATTAGCGGCGTTTTGTCACTTGTTGCCAAGGTTTAAAACCGCCTCCAGGGATGAAATTCAGGTGCCCACCTGCAGTAGTAGCAACCGGGGCAGCACTATCGCAAAGCACTTTAGTAAAGAACCTCCGCCCTCAGTCCTTGCCTACGAAAATACTAGTGATAGGAATGTTAGGCATGGCAGCAAATGTTCCGTTAGGAATATGGAGGGAACACACTAAAAAATTCTCACCATCTTGATTTGTGGCCGTCCATGCAGCTGTTCCATTCATAGCCATGCTACGGAAATCTGTCTTGACGTCCAAGACAGCTATGACTTTCACCATTGGTGCATCTATACTAGGACAGATGATCGGCTCTAGGGCAGAACAATATCGGTTGAAAACGGTAGCAGTCTAGGGATCATCTATTTTTGTTGGTGCAGCAAACCCGTTAGAAGGGATTGCCTTCACAAATGGCTGTTGCGGGAAAGATATCGAATGGAATCCCATTTCTTTTGAGGCCGCAAGGCCTTCTTCAGCAACAGACAAGTTTTATTAATCAATCTCTCCCCCCAATTGTAAGTTAAGCTGTTGCAGTCTTCGTGTTTAATTGCGTTCCAGTATGTTTTGGTCTCTGAAACAATGACAAGTGCAATCTTCCAGGGAAATAAATTAATAGGAGAAATTTTTATTCTGAAATATTTCGGGTCAAAGTATTGAAAGTTGAAAATAGTAGAAGAGTCGACCACAATTTGACCAGTTTAAAACTACAAGTACTGAACCCCAAATCTGAATGAAGTTGGGAGACCAAACCCGTACTTTGACCGTTTTCTTTTCTTTCTTTTGGGGTTAGTATTCTACATGGATTATAATTTAATACACCAAATATCCAACCAGTGCTGTGTGCACGAAAGATGGCTTTTAAAAATTAAAAAACCTAACGTAAATTGCCTATATACCTTAAGTACAAAACACGACATATATAAAAAGAAAACAAATACAACACAAATTTATGAACATGTCAAAATCTATATAACACAAACTATCAACTAACGTAAATTAATTAGCTAAGGATCGAAAAGATTAACCTTGGTAAAATCACGGCCATTCAAAGTTCGGTCAGTACTGTGGACAACGGTCTGCAATGCCTGCAGCTCCATTTGAGAAGAGGATGCCGGATAATTGACAAATGCAGAAGGATACTTCGCCATTAAAATAGCAGAATCGGGTAAAGGTGACAACCCAGTTTGAATCCAATTACCATTCCAGAAACCATAGCTTCTCTTCGGAACACTTTCCGTCACACAAATATTATTTTGACTGAACTTTGAGTTTCCATCAACAGTATTACCTGTAGACTTGAAATTCGACGGTTTCGTGTTCTGTTTTAAATCTTGGGAATTAGAATTTAAAATCTGACCAAAAAGCTTGACGTTACCATTCCTGCAAGGCTTTCCTATGTCTGAAATGTTCGAAGCCTGGGATTTTGGACAATCCTTGGCTTGTTCCAAGTTCTGCACCAGGTGTGGAAGCCCAGCAGTTGATTTTGAGCTATTGCACTTCTGAAGATGACAATCTTGAGCCAAATACGGACCGGCAACCCCCTTTTTGGATGTTGAAGGGTTTTTGACATCACTATTGGTTTCTTTCCATGTTGAAATTTGCAAGGGGTAACCCCTTAGGATCTGGCAGGATTCAGTAAGATTCACCAAGGGCTTTCCAGATAGACAATTTGACTCGTCTTCACAGAAGGATACGCAAGCTTGTTTGGCTTCATTCCCCTGATAATCAATTGATGATGACAATCTATCTAAGTTGCACAATTTTTCACATCGAAGGAAATTGGAATCATGCAATGCAGAACTTTCAGCAGCAGAATTTTTACCAACAGAAGGCTTAATAGCAGAATCCAAGTTGGGAAGAGGACCTTCGGTATTGAAGCTAAAACCTGAAGAAGAGTTTTTACCAACAGATTCATCACTGGTTTTATTTGAATCTTGCCCACATATACTTTGACTGCTAGTCTCCGCTCTGCATTTTGAATCATGTTCATCCACAACATTTTTGGACAACGAAGTTTCCCATGCCATGAAATCATTTCTAAAGCCCTCATTTGAACAACCAGTAGCAGGCCTGAACTCGACCACATCTATATGAGTGCAATGATGAGCTGCCACCCCAATAGATGCTGATACTACAACAGACGCACCCTGATCAACAACCTGATTTCTTCCAGAATTTAGGTCGCCTGAAGAAACACTTCTCTGAACCTGTAATGACTCCGCATTGCAATCAACATCCATATCATCAGTACCACACTCAGAAATTACCTGACCAGCAGCATGATTCCCATTATTTTCGACTGGTAACTTCAGCTCAGTTTTTAAAACCAGTTTGCTGATAGGATCACATTCATCCATATTCATTCTGACAAAATTGGAAGGAAAGTCTTCCAATTTAGACCCCAACTTATCACTGCAGACAACTGAACGCTCAAGGACAGAAGCATCTTCCATATCACTCCCACCACCATTTGCATCATCACTCATGGGTGTTCCCATGTCTCTATTTCTTGGACGTATCAAGTCCAGTCCAAGGCATTTGCTAGCCTTGCTAAAGAAAACCTTGCATTGATCCCTGGATCTTGTTCGGACACATCGCGAGATCATTGAAAAATCTTTACCATAAGACGAGACAGCCTGTATAAAGACAGATTTTTCCTCATCAGTCCAATCAGTAGGATCCATGTCCCCACAACTCTCATCTGAACAAGTACCTTCATCAACATTCCGAGGAAAATCAGGTATTAAATGCCTTTTAAGCAGAGAATCAACTTTGGGGCACTTCCAGTCACGGTGGTAGCTCTCTCCTTGATCAGCAGAACTAGTGATACAAGAACTCATTGCCTCTGAAGGCAATGAACCACATATACCTGCCAAAACATCAGCAGCTGCAGTTTCCCAATCATTCCCAATAAGATCAAAATTGTTTGACCTATCAGCAATGCTATCAACTCGAGATGTTCTACAATAACGCTCTTCCAGAAAGATCCTACTAGAAGACGTCTGATTCTTTTGCATGCCACTATTGGCCTCTGCAGCTATAACAGAAGCTGCACCAAGAACATCAATGGACACAGCATTGAATTCCTTCCTCCACTTTTTCCCCAATGTCAACAAGTAGGTATTCGCAGAGGGCTTCCCCTGCTTACTTGGATCAAGCTTCTTCTTTGTTTTCTCAAAACATTTAGACTTGTGGTTTTTGTAATAGAACTCAACACAGTCAGCAGTTGTCTTATGGTCCAGAAAGGTGGCAATTTTTCTGAAGTCCTTCCCAAAGGCAGCCAAATTATCCATAAAAATTTCCTTCTCCTCCAATGTCCAAGGATTGATCAAAGCTCTTTCCTTTTCGACAGCAAAGGGATCTTCAACCAATCCATTGCTAGAAATAAACCTTGACATTTGTTCTTTCTCGTCCAAAATCAATGCTGGAATTTTCAATGCATTCCTGTAACGCTTGACACGGGGATCTAAAAGCAGTTTGCTGGTAAAATTTATCATCTCAGCATTAGGTTCTAAGTTCAGATTACCAGCTGAAGAAACAAACCCAAAAAGAAATCCATTAATAATATGTACCACTACTGATAAATACTTGAACAATCTTAAAGAACATAAAGCAAAAGCAGAAAATATAAATTTATTAATACTTGAACAAATAATACATACATATGGGGCAAAAAAGCAAAAAAATCACATTTTTGCAGCAGCATAAAATTCTGACAAATCAGATATGATAATCAAACATTCCAGAGTGGGAACCAACAACAAGCTTTTCAACAGGCAATTAATACTCCAGCTCATACCTAATGCACGAGGCATATTGAGAATGATGCACCACAATGCACCCAACCTTGCATTCACCAAATATAACCTTATAAATGAATGGGTTGGACGGTAGACTAGCTTTAGTAACACCAGCCACTCTAGAATACCAAAATAACAAATTTTCCACGAACCATAATTGGACATTAACCATATATGCAATGAGTTTCACCGATTGGCAATGAACTATTTACCTTCAGCAACATTTCCATGATAATTGCATTTCATTAAAAACTCAAGATTAAATTAATAATATGAGACAGTTTACTTTATAAGAACTAATCCTTAAACACTTCGTCTTGAATGCATTCAAGTAAATGAATGATCAAAATTCAAAATATAGAAAGGCAAGATGAAACAAAAAGGAAGTGCTAAATGTACTTAAAGTAATAGCAAATCAACCATATTCAAAATCATAACAGAAATAGAAATGCATAAACAATTCTAAACCAGGAAGCTCAAACAATTACCAGGAGAAGTAACACGAGAACGAATGGAGGACCGATGCTTTTGGTAACCACCATATGCTGAACCTGAGCTTATTTCATACTTCTTCTGAGACTTTGCACGATATTTTCTCGAGGGTGAAAGCATATCTTCCTTCCAAGCATGCCGAAAGGCTTCAAACTTAAATGTCAAAACTCTCTCCTTAAATTCTAAGCGGCGCTTCCGCATTGCAATTTTCCCCCTGATTGATGGATTCATTTGCCACAATGATGCATAGGAAAATTCAGAAATCTCAATGCCATACTGATCTTTAGGAAATAATTTCTCAAACACAAGACAAGTACTGTTTGCCAATTCCTTATTAGTCCTCAATATTTCATCATGTGTCACATTTTCATTACCAGTATCAGAGTTAGAAGATTCTGGAGCATGTGCATCATTATCAATCTTTACAAGTACACTGCCTTCCCCAGGAATGACTGCAGTCCCTTCTTCATTAAAAAAATCAGTAGCTAAAGTCATCTCTTCAGTTGTTGCCAATTGAGCAGAGCCAGCATTACCAGAACAATCATGAACCTTCACAATATCACGAAGAGGACCTGTTTTATCCAAAGATGACGCCAAAAAAACAAATGTAGATGTTCCAGGACTAACCCCATTTTTCATATCAACACTAACTTCTTCCAGGACACCATTACAGAGGTGCTGCTGCTCTTCAAGAACATCAGAAGAAGGATCCACTTTCAATGGAGCAGGCTGAGGGATCATACTGGATGCAGCCTCCTGTTCCTCACAAGATTTTCCATTTTCCTGAACAGGAAGAGAACTAGCTGTTGATGGCAATTGGTTTCTACTTTTAGAGTCGCCTTTCAAAGACTTAAGTTCATTTTCCAGATAATCAATTTCAGATTCAGTCATCTCCAATGTTTTCAAAATGTCACCTTTCCATAATAGCAATTTATTTATAGCAGTAGACCGAACAAAATTAGAATCCATAGTACTAGGATCATCAGACTGAAGTGAATCAATAAGTGAAGAGACCATATTAATAATCGAATTGATATCCAATTTCTCTAGATTAAAAGAGGGCCCTTCTAGCTGATTCTGAGACCCAAAACTTGGAGAACCACATGCATTGATTTCATTATCAATATTTGTAGCTTTAACAGATGATTTCTCTTCCACGCCTGCAACAACAAGGAACATATTGGCAATCAATGAGCAAGCACAACACATAACACAATCATAATGCAAGGAGAAGGATACAGGGAGAAGGACTAGTATCCTGTTCTGACAGGATTCTGAAGCTGGAAGACAACTTAAGAATAAGCGAGTCAACAACGAAGCAGTCCCAAATGCAGAGAACAAAGTTCCTTTACAACGCATGTTCATTACATAAGGTCTCTTAGCAGAGAACAATTCTCGCCAAATATTTAACAGTTTCCCTCCTAAAATAACTGGCAGAAGGAAAAGAGCAATCACCCCGTATTCATGAAGACAGACTAAAATATAGAGTTAGCTTTGACAGGGAAGTGGAGAATCGGGAATGTATGCATATGTGCTTATAAACAGTTATTAAAGCACAAGAAACCAGCGAATGGTCATGATCGTGACAAGAACCACATAACTCTCAAAACTAAAGCCAGTAAAAAAAGAGCTGGGCAAAATGTATTTTAAGAATGCAGAATACTAAGTTTTAATCATCAATTTAAATAGTCATGTTGGACTACAGTACCATAATGAACGATATCAGACCATCCGACCAGGGTTTCAAAAAACGGTCCGCGACTGCGGTTTCGTCCGCGATATAGCGGTTTCGCAGCTATCCGAGTTACCCGCGAACGGCCGCAATAGCGTCCGCGACGACCGCAATCACGGTAAATCCGAAATAACCGAAAACGCGACCGCGATTTGAAACCCTGCATCCGACCGATCTTATTCAAGAATCAAGATATTAAGGAATGGCAGAAAGGGGCAAGAAGTGAATATGGTTAACAAATGAGCAGACAAAGGGCCATGCTGATATAAAAGTTACATCACTGTCAAACTAAATCTGGTAAACGAGGAGAATAATCAAAACACCACAAAGATTATTTTTCCCTAAGACCACTTGTAGGCAACAATCTAGTTCCCTAGGAAGGCTTTCAATGTTATTTTTTATGATATTATACGTGTTTTAAACGTGCCTGCTTAACACTGAATAAACATATAAGAAAATCTAAGATATACCTGGTGAGGAACTGCAACCAACAGAAGAGGGAGTTGCAGGAGAAGAACAATCAGAAAATCCAAGAACTCTAGGGCTCTTATCTACCAAGTTAGAACTCAGAGAACCGTTAGGTTCGGCATTTCCGAAATAAATTGCAGCTCCACCACTATTAATGCTTGTGTCAGGGCCTTCATCCTTTTTTTTCTCATATTTTGCTAGACCCTCACCCCATCCAAGCCGTGGCTTCTTCCTTGATGATGTCTCATCAGAAGGTGGAGCAGATGTGACACAGGCTGCTGCATCCCCAGAAGGAGACTGAACTGGGGCCAAATTTTTCTGTTGTAACTCAAGCTTTGCTTCCCCAGAATCTTCACCTCCTGCGCTCTTTGAGCTACCTGAATGGCTAAATCCGGAGCCCCATGAAGTCAAGCTTCCAGAACGGCTCCACTTAAGAGGCTTCCAATCCACAGAGCCCACGGAGTTCTCTCTCTCACATCTTTGTCCTGTGCCTAATCCATTGACACCGGATGTTCTATTATCATGTTGATCTTTTTGACAGTGATTCCATGTGTTTACAAAGTCGGAGTTAGTACGAGAAGAGTATGTTAACATATCATCCACAGACCTCAGTTCATTATTCACATCATAAGGCCTCCCAGGAGTGTTTGGGGAACCATTGCTGGTTTCCCAAGAATGACCTCTCCAGTCTCTTATGCCGTAAGACCCTTTGCTGTTGTCTCTACTGCTGCTTCGACTATATTTCCAATCTCCACGAGAAACTGACTGACGGCAGGCCTCACCATCCAAGATCTTGTCACTTGACCGCCATGGCACATATCCATGAGCACCAATGTCTTCGGGAAACATATGCCAATTGCCCCGCTTACCATGACCTTCATAAAAAATTTAAACAACAAAAGAAAAATCACAACAAAAAAAAAATAACACATGCAACACATGCAATGTTTTATGTATAATTTCAAATCCCAATAATAACAAAGAAATCCATCAATCTCTCAGTCTCAACCCTTAGCCCCAAAAGAAATTAAAAAAAAAATCCTAGGGAAATAACTAAAAGTATCCCTTCAATATATCAAAGCATGTATTCATCAATGAAACAACGTATAAGAAAAATAAATATATCCTACCTCCAAAGGACCAAAAGCAAAACTAAAATAGTACCAGAAAAAAAGGTGATTCTTTCGACAAAGCATATGGAAGAATATAAAGATTAAGAAAATAAAATTCCCCATTTATCACAATCAAAGTGTATGTTATTTCATGAACCCGACAAGAAAGAGAAGTACAAAAACTCAATGTTTTCATCCGTAAAGAAAATAAAAAACCGGAAAAAAAATACCAGACAACCCGAGAACGTTGATTTTGATAAAGCAAAACGAGAAAAAAATAAGTTGAATGAAAACATTTCCCATGATCAACAATGGACCAGAAGGAAAAAGAAAAATTCCAAAAAGAAATTACACCAAAACCTAAAAAATCCACGGATCTACGCAGTCTTAATCCCACACGAAAAAAAGGGAAAAAATGGGGAAAATCTCATAATGATACAATCCTAACCCTATATTAGAGTTAAAAATAAATGGAAGGAAAGAACTTACCAGGAGGACGGCGGACGTCAGCGGATCCCCAGCGAGCGAATTCTCTAAAGGATCCATGCTGATAAGACGGCATAGAAGACGCGTTAAGCGGCGGTGGCTGCAACTCCGTCCTCTCGTGGTTCTTGTCCTTGTAAATATCCTTCCTGTCCCAAGGCGACGGCTCTTGCGGCATCAAATCGTACGAGGCAATACCACCCCCAACAAAACGCCACTGTTTTCGTTCTTCTTTCCCCAGATTACCCAACTCTAGAAAAACATATTGCTCCCATTCTTATAAAAAAAATACCGATTCTTCCTAAGTTTTCTCAGTTCCGGAATCCAAAACGGCACCGTAAACGAATATATCCCTGGCTCTGTCTGCAAATAAAAAAATTACCGAGCCGAATTTTGCGGTCTTAGTGAACAGGATCCAACAGCACCGCGACGGTGGTGATATTCAGCTCCGGAAAGGTGGTTATCTGTTTTCCAAATTGGAGAGTTGAAGAGAATAATATTAAAAGAAAGCGAATTTCCTCGGATTTTCTCTTTGTATTGTTGTTCGGGAATAAAATATACGGAGGCAAGAAGGTGATAACGTGAAGCCGATAAGGGAGAGCCTCGGGAGAGAAAAGTGCAGAGAGATATATCCGTACCTGAACGGCGTTAATTAACCATATTTCAATCTATTTCCACGTCCGCTATATAGAAAACTTTTCTTTTATAATCTAATTTAAATTTTAAATATTGTCTAAAGAACTTTATGATAAATTATTGAATTTTATAAACACTCAAGTTGTTAACGTCCTTCTTTAAATAAAAGGAGATGATGTACATATATTAAAATTAATTTTTAAAAAGTATTTTTTACAATTACAAATTAAAGAAATTATTTTTGGACCATTTAAAGAAAAATTAAGTATTTTTATGGTTTTATTTTAAGTAAGAATAAATATTTTATTTTGGAATATGAAAAAAAAATCAAATCTTCGCATAAATCAAAGTGAGTATATAAAAATAACAACTGAATTAAAATTTTAAAAAATATAAATAGACTAAATTGAATTCATCATTAAAATCAAACCGTGACCTGATGGAACCTATTAGCACTTGTTGATAAGAATCAAGTTAAATTGGATTATGGGCAAAGAATTTTTCTTTTCACTCTTTGACAAAAATAAGCTGGAACCGAGGAGGATGAGTGACAGAGAATTCAAACACCGGTCTGTAAAGCCATTAGATAAAATCTTTGCAATTCTAATTTTTCAACAAGAAACTTTATATTTTCCGTAAAAGAAAATAGAAACTTCATCATTTTAACAAAAATTAATACTATTTTAATTTTAAATTCCAATTCAAGATATTAAATCATAAATACCATTTTATAATTTATTTACTTTTAATATTTCAAATTATACATCAAATTGTTGATAACGTATTATATGATTTTCCGGCGCTATATGAATTTTTAATACATTTTTTATGCATAAAATCTATAAATAAAGAAATAACGTATTTTTTTATATAAAAGTAAAAGGTTGATTGGTATTTTCATGAATATGAAAGAGTTTAGTTAGTGAGAAACGATTGTTGGCCGACATTCGGATGAAAAGAAGGATCAGTCGTGAGGAAAAGAAAAAGAAAGAATATGATAGTTGTAAAAACAGCATGTCTTCGTTTCAACTATGTTAAAGAGCATTTATAATGACATTTAGGGACATGATGTTTGCATAAAAATATCATTATTAAGAAGAATAATATTTTTTGAAATTATATTTTTATATTTGGTTTATACAAAAATTATTACCAATGAATAATCTTTTCCTAATAATAATACTCTTAAAATAATGAATTTATTATTATAACGATACTTATCAATTCTCATTTTTTATGCTTTTAATATTTAATATATTAATTATTCGTAATTTAATGAGATAAAAAAAGATGATATTATTATAAAAATGAAATTATTTAAAATAGCATTTAACTTTGAGATATTAAAAAATGGATATAATATACCAACAATCACTTGATCTAGGGTTTGAATCTGACGTTTGCGAAAGAAACAATCTGGGTCGGAAGGGATACTCTCGTCTCTGTAGTACCCAATCTCGATTAGTCAATTAATAAATCGAATACCAATAATTTATTTCAAAAAAATGAATCTCATACGTTGAAAAAAAATATTTATTCACTTAAGACTATATTAATAAAAAAAATAATATTCTTATCCGCCTAAGACTATAATATTATATTATATTTTATATAAATAATTATGATACTTATAAAAAAACTATTTAAAAATGTAAGTTTGATATATTAATTATATTAATTATATCTTAAATATTTTTTCTTAAAAGTTAGACAGTGCAACAATTAAAATATTTTTATGATTTTTATTCAAATATTTATAATTTAATATTATCGTTTAACTTGTTGAAGCAAACACATATCACAAGGATAAAATGATAAAATATGCATCCAATTATTCTTATATTTGTCTAACCAAACGCTATATTATTGCATTTCTTATAAACAAACTAAATAAGATAATACAATATTTTCACAGTAATGTTGCATTACAATAATCTTATTCTCAAAGGTAATATTACATTTCGTAAACCAAATGTTACCTTAGTGCGGTTAATTGTGAACTTATTATGCCTATTTATAAATTCGTAGATTAGGTGAATCTGGTAGTTAGATATTGAATTCAATTTTGATAAATTATGTGAGTCTGTCAAAAATTTTGTTTTAAAAATCTCATCCATAACTATTAAATAATTAAATTAAAATATAATTATTAAAAAATTCATTACATAAATTTAATACGTGAATTATAAAAATAGAAAATAATACAAAGTTTAGCATACAAATCGACATATACAATGTGACGCATACACAATTTTAATGACGTATTTAATTGTTTTATATTTTGTACCAATGTAGTGGTTTCTAGTTTATAATAAAAATACAATGTTAAAGTATATTGGATAAAAATTAAATTTTAAAAATACATAAAAAAATGTTGTTGCAAACTGGCGCACATAAAAATATCATTAAAATAAAAATTATTTAGCGGTATATGAGGTCATCAAATTTTGGGGAGAAAACTAGTTTAGCCTCATAATTTTTGTTGTACTCAATGTGATCCTTGAATTGAGAAAAAAATAATCTAATTCTTTAACTAACAAATCAAACGATTATTGTCACGATACTTACATGACAATATACAATATTGATGTGATAATGTACGATGGACGTTGATATGATAGACGAGTTTAATTTAATTTGTTAACTAAGTTCGAGGGCATAATTGATTTTTTGGAAAGTTTGAGGATTTATTTAGTTTTCTTAGAAAAATAAGAAATTATTTAAATATAATATATAAACAATTATTAAGATATCTAATACATTAAATATAAAAATACTAAAAAATTAAATTATTAAAAAATTCAGAGTAAAGGCCATAAGTATTAAAAAGGATTGGAAACATGTTTGAAGAATGGGTATGGTTTTTAGCTTTAAGTATTCTATGGAGAATTTTTAGATGTTAAAGTGAATTTAATTGATGTAAGTTGGTTGTGATAAGTGTTAATGAGTTTAAGGGCATGAATGGAGTTATTAGTAAGATATTTAAGTGATTTTTGAGTAAAATTCGAATTAAAATTAGTGAATTATGGGTAAAGGTATCGGTATTGTTCTTACTATAAGGTTAAATTGAAGGAAATTATATGAATCAGATGAATAATATCGATACTGAATGAAGTAGTATCAATACTAATGTGGAGGTATCGATACCAAGAGTGAGGTACCGATACTGTAATTGAAGATGAAATTTCAGAACATCATAATGGTATTGATATTGAAGTAGGTATCGGTACCATAGAAGAGAAGTATCGATAATGTGTGTAGAGTACCGATACTATTTAGTTTGAAATTTTAAATTAGGTGCTTCATTTTGTTTATGTAAATGCTGATTGGTTAGTAGTTAATTGAGTTTCGGTATTCATTTTTGGTAGATCGAAAACAAGTACTGAACGACTCGAAGTAGTAAAGAGATTGAGCGAAAGAGAAACGAAATTTTGCTTAAGGACTTAAGTGAGGCAAATGTGAGTGCAACTTATTTATTTTATATTAGCTATGAGGACGGCTTGCGATAAGCCAACTTCAAAGGTTTTCAATCGAAAACAATTTTATTTATTTTATGCAATATCTTTATAATGTTTTATATAAATTGTATTTTCGAAGTATTGTTTTGATTTTATTAGAATGTGAAAATGTTCTATGTTCTATGTGAATATGTTATATGTGGATAAATGATACTTTGAATAATGTAATGTGAAATAATTATATGGTTAAAGCCCAAAGTATTTGTTATGAGAATTAGAGGTATAGTTGGCATGCCAAAAGTCGAGGGTTCTACGTGGTCCTTCGAGATAATTCTATGTGGTCATTCGGGACAATTCTACGCGGCCCTTTGGAATAAATCTAAGTGGCACTTCGGTGCATATTCTACGTGACACTTCGGTGTAAATTATATGCGGCAGTTTCGACTGCAATTACAGTGCACAACCTCAAAGTACTCACATACATTGAGTTCTCAGTGATATGCGTTGAGTTATTTAAACAAATTGATATGAATTGAATAGTGGATAACATTATAAGTATGTTTATGAAATGTATATTGGTTTCCATATACAATGTTTCTTGAAAATGTTCAAGTAAATGCTTTATTGTTTTTTATGCTCATTTATGCCTCACTACGTCAACAACTTAGCGTGTGAGTGTTTTCACACGTAGGTTCAAAGAGATCCGAAGAGTAAAGCTAGGAAAGGACACTTTGAAGACGATCAGATCAGAACGACTTGATCTGTAGGTGCTTCTTGTTATTTTGAAATTTTGTTGCCATGTATCATAAATGTTTAAATCGCAAATGCTCTAATCTTTGTTGTAATTATATTATTTAGAGTTTATGTAAATAAATTAAGTATTTAATTTTACTATGAAATATGAATTTTCGATATTAACTTTTGTATGAGGGTTTCACCACTAAATTCAAAGTAAAAGTTTAAATTTTAAACAAATGTTCAAATAGTTAAAGTTTTGAAAAATCAATGCGACACTTCAGATTCGTATCCGGGTCGGATACGAGTTGGGGTGTTACATTTATAGCCCTTAATTTCATCATCAAAGTTCCAGTGGCATTATCCCAAAGCTTATCCACCTCTTATTCACAAGTTTCTTCAGTTAACCATACCGTTTTAAAACGGAAGTGCCAGTGAATATCTGAATTTTGAACAAGGGATGTCGTTTTTAAGAACAAAGGGCAATGGTCGGAAATCGAACGAGGAAAATGCTCCAAAGGAAGAGCGGAAACAAATTCCACCAAGAGCCATTAGCAACTCCCCCTATCCAGTCTTTCACGGACGTTTATCGCCTGAAAATTTCCCCTCTCCCACGTGAACCACCTTCCATGAAAACCGATATCTTTAATAGCACAGTCATTCAGAGCAGAACAGAAAGCCATCATCTGACTCTCTCGTCTAGTCGGTCCTCCCTGCTTCTTATGTAAAAACAAGATTTTTTTGAAATCGCCCAAGACTAACAATGGGATTTCAGGATCCCAATTAAGTTGACGAAGAAAATTCCAAGCCTCGATTCTCTGATTTTCGTGGGGAGCCCCATAAAACCCTGTAAACTACAACCTTCTGCCCTACGAGTCTTCTTCAATTACAACATCAATATGGTGATGAGAAAAGGATTGGAGAGAGATTTTACAATTTGCTTTCCAACCCAACTTTTAAGCCACCACTCCTACCAACTGTCGGGACATCTAAGCCATTTGGGAAACCACACATTTTTCTTACGGTTTCCATTTTATAGTTATGTAGTTTTATCTCAATCAGGAAAACTACAAAGGGGCTCATGTTTCGTAGTTCATGAATGAGACGCCGCACCATTCGAGGTTACCCCATGCCCCGAACGTTCCACCCTAAGATTTTCATTGTTCTCGGCTGGCCTGCATAGCGAGGCCTGCTGATTTATCCAATTCTTGAACATGTGCAAATTCATTTGTAGCAGCAAGTGAAATAGTAGAATTAGTAACAACTTGTGCTGCATTGTGATACCTGGGTATTTTCTTTTTCCTGGAATCGCCCATAAGAACGTCTTCCTCTTGTTGGGCCATGGTGACACTGAGATCCACATTTGGTGAATTTAAAATAGATTGGATCTCCCTTCTTTGTTGCCCTATTAAACTTGGACCCACTAAATTATTTTTAATCATGTTTGTGGAAATAAAATCTTCATTTATTTTAGCCAAACCATCTATCATTGTTTTAATTGAGATATTCTCCTTACCAGATATTTGTGTTGAATTAGCCATGATAGGTGCACTTCTAGGAAATCTCCTCGTTAAACCCTCCGCAGATTGAGATCCCATTAAAATTGTCTCTCAGCCAGATACTCGTCGGAGGAGATGATTTCCAAGGAGTTCTAATCGACAAATCCCATCTCATAGGTAAATACTTACTCCCTGGATTTTCCCTTAGCGGGCAAAAGCTTTCACCGTGACCAAGCATACCACACAAGAAGCAAAAAAGAGTTAGTTTTTCATACTCAAAACGAACATAATGTGGAATACCTTCTCTTGTCAGGACTTTCTTCTTTCTTTTCAGGGTATGTCTCACATCAAACCTAACTCGAATTCTCATTATCCTTCTGTGACTCATTGTCGTTGCACCATAATCATACTCAAGGAAAGTCCCAATAAAATCTCCTAATGATCTCGCCACTTTCTCTGTCAACTTTCCTAGAGGAATATCATGAACTTGCAACCAATAATTAACGAAATTGAGTTGGACTGAGAGAGGGTACTTCCCTTCTGAGAGCATGTGCAGGATCAATAAATGGCTGTTAAAATTCTATGGACCACACATCTTTATTCTGTCAGCACCTGCTTGGTTGAACAGGCGAAAAAGGATTATCCTTTCCCCAAGATCTGAGATGTCGATGCCGCCTATTGGGTGCCACACATTAGCCAGAGTGGCTCTCATTGACTGGAAATGAACAACACTAGCAGTTAAAAAAATCCCAACAAAGCATAACTCAAAGGATTCCGTCTCAGCATGCAAGTCATCACCATCTTCTATAGCCTCCTCCTCGCCAGTATCTAACTCAAGCCGTGCCGTAACTTTCGCTATATCTGTCATCGCTACAAAGAAAGAACCACCGAAAAACAGGTAGGAAAAAAACGTATCAAAAGACAAAGAAAAAATATGTCAAAAGACAGAGTTTGGAATCGTTAACTTTTAGCCTTTCACCATGCGTGTAAAAATTATGCAAATAATTTGCAAAATGAATTTATGATATTAATTCCAAACACATATATATGAATTTATGAATTTAATTCCACACACACACAACATATTTAATTTATATTTTATAATTTAATAAATTTAAAATTCTTATAATCTAAGAATTTATTGAATAGTCTCAATGGTTAAAAAGAGTGTCGTCTTCTCTTAAGATCTCGAGTTCGATCAATTGCATATATAGTGTGGGCGTACATTGTTGATGATTAAAAAATTTCTAAACAAATACTATTTTATAATTGCCTCAAACTACTAAACAAAATCTTATAATTTAATAAAATTACAAAGATAACTTATACATACTAAAGGGACTAACAATAAAATTTGACCAGAACAAAACTACATAAATTACAAGAGCAGACAGTTTAAAAACCGACAGGACAGGAAATAATAAAAAGGGATATCACCAATTTATCGGCAAATCTATGCCAGTACATAGCCTGTAACCCAGACAGGTTAAGCAGCGATCAAGTGTTGTACCTCATATTTTGCCTCCCTTGCCGTCACATTGGCCACCTCGCCGACTCTTTATGGCTCCACCTCTGTTTTAATCCTCCCGATTACACCGACGACGACAAAGATGCGTCGATCTCCGATTGACTATATTATCTTCTTCTTCTTCATCTTTTTCCATCGCATATCCTCTTGTAATTACAAGTTTCACGGATTACCCTAATCTTCTATGTTTTTTTCATGTTGTTTGGGTAATCCCCATCCCCTGTAAATTTTGGGTTGCAATTTATACGTAAGAGAAAATAATCTCAGTGATCAAAAATCCCAGATAATATACGATTTTGATCAATTTTTTTAGTTTTGTGAAAATGACCAACAAAATCGCAGTGCGATTTTTAATTCGCATTGCGATCTCCACTATCGCAAATTCGCGTTGCGATTTTTCATTTCGCTTGCGATTTTTCAGTTCGCGTTGCGATAGTCTACAGTTGTCGTTGCGATTTTCCAAATTCGTTGCAATTTTTCAAATTCGTTGCAATTTTTCAAATTCGTTGCGATAGTCTACAGTTGTCGTTGCGATTTTCCAAATTCGTTGTGATAGTTAAAAAAAAAATATTTTGTTTCTCTAAAAGATAGTATCTGCGCAGACGTGTCGAAGACACGTATTATCATGACCACGACCCGACCCGATCCGAGACGAGACGGACGGCGGCGGCGGCGGCGCGCGAGTGTCTCCCTTGTTCTCTATCACTCAATAAAGAAATGAGAAAGCCAAGCCTTAAATACTATTCCCAATAGTGTTTCCAATACTATGTGAGATTTGAACATTACCAACACTTGTTCCTAATACTATGTGGGATTGAGCCTTAAATAGTGATATTATTTTTGAATGTTTTGCTTAAAATTACAATAATCGCGATTGATTGTAGATTGACTTTTAATTATGACATATTTAATCGTATAATACTAATGTAATTGGTTGCTAATTCAGTTGTTTTAATGTGCATGATTATTAATTGTTTCCTGAATAATCACATTGTCTTGGAAACAAGTGTTGGTAATGCTCAATCCCACATAGTATTGGAAACACTATTGGGAATAGTATTTAAGGCTTGGCTTTCCCACTTCCTTGTTGAGTGATAGAGAACAAAGGGGACTCTCGCGCGCCGCCGCCGTCCGTCTCGGGCCGTGGCCGTGGCGAATACTATCTTTTTAGAGAAAATTCTTAAGAAACAAAATCTTTTTTTTTAACTATCGCAACGAATTTGAAAAATCACAACGACAATTGTAGACTACCGCAACAACAACTGTAGACTATCGCAACGCAAAATGAAAAATCTCCAACTATCACAACGCAAAATGGAAAATCGCAACGCGAATTTGCGATAGTGGAGATCGCAATGCAAATTAGAGATCGCATTGCGATTTTGTTAATCATTTTCGCAAATCCAAAAAAACTTGATCAAAATCGTATATTATCTAAGATTTTTGGTCACTGAAGTTATTTTCTTTATACTTAAATATGGAAAACTTTGATGCATAAATTGGGTGCTTCCTTTCCAGGTTAATTGTTTTGAATTTGATTTTAAGAGATACAAATCAGGCATGCTTTTATTTTGATCATATGGTTGAAAATTTTAATAATAAACATTAACAAACAAAACAACAAGCAAGTTGAATGATTTGGATACAAATCGGGTATCTCAAGTGACTATAGAATACCAGACAGAGCAACAATCCCAGTTTAAAGCAACAACCCAAGTTAAAAAACAGAACAGGTCTCGACTTCACATCAGATTGGAACACTTCAAAGTTTTTAAACCCTATACAAACATCAACACATTAAAGACAAAAGAATAAAAATAACCCAATAGAGGATGGAATTTAACCATGTGGTTCTTCGGCTGAGCATTATTTAGTGCAGAACACCACCTACATCAATTCCAGTCAGGCTGCTTTCTTCTGTCAAAGGCGCATCCTGTAAAAGAAGATGGTGAGAATTTTTCAATGAATTATGTACATTATATATCAACCTTACTAGTTATTGCAGGATATGAACATTTTACCGAATTTTCTTTGTTCTCCTCCTCAATAGTCTCTGCCGCTGCTACTGTTGCTGAAGGGCTAACTTGATCTGTAAACAAAAATAAACATGCATTAGTCATGCACCCAAGGTAAGAAGAAATATTCATATGCCGAACCCTAAAACATATCTCCGATACACCCTTGCCTTCTTTATTGTCTGATTTGGCCCCCTGTTTCTTAGTCTTTTCCTTTCCTTTAACAGACTCTGGTTTGGTGGTTGTCTTCAGAGTTCCAATCTGTCGCTTACGACACCCTGTGCCCGAAGGCCATGAATTTGAGTTGGTCTTGTTCAAAGGCCTGTTCCTGGTTGCAGCATTATTCTTTGGAGTAGCCTCTTTTGCGGATTTAGCCACATATGAAACCTGCGCCACATCAGTGTTCAAGGACTTGGGTTTCAATCTCCTAGCTCCTGCTGAAGGAGAAACCTTTCGAATCTCATCGTCAGATGACCGAATCCCCTCATCAGGCACCTGGGAACATGTTTCGGACACCTGTGGTTGATCGGAATTTTCCAAAACACTGTAGCGTTCAAGTAGTTCCTGTATAGCTTCCTCGTTTTCACCAAGATTATGGCGACGTATATAGGATTTAAACTCGTCACGCATTTTCTGAGTAGCCTGGATTTAGTTTTATGGTGAAGATCAGATAACAAACAAAGATAAGTTAAAACCCAAAGCAAAGAACTCGTATAGAATCTCTCCTAATATGAAGTGAAAAGCGGAAAGAAACGAAGCATACCTCACAACCAGCTTCCAAGGCAAGTTTGAAAAATCCAAGTGAGACAGAGTGCTTAGAAGCTGATTCAGAGAGCTTAATCTGCGACAGCCAGTATGAAGACGATGACAGCATACTGAACCTTCTTCGAGTAGCTGACCTTGAAGCATCGGAAAGAGGATTGACACTTTTGCCCTGACCATTGGTGGATTTCTTGGCTCTACCCTCATATATAGGAGGGGTTGTCCCAACAAATTTTGGAGATGGAGTCACAGTTGATTTGGTTGGGATGGAGAGCCTTCTGGGTGGCTTCCCAGTTTTCTCCTTGGAAAGATCAAGAACACCCACGCTTTTGCTTACACTTGGTGTTGCCCTCCCCCTATGAAGACCAAAACAAATAAGACCCGATTTCATTTATAACAACTCAAAGGTAATACAAATAAGACGGGCAACTAGGAAATTGGTATCTGCAACTCGAACTCTTCCTTTTTCTAAAAACACCCTTACTACTCAAAGGTAATACAAATAAGACGGGCAACTAGGAAATTGGTATCTGCAACTCGAACTCTTCCTTTTTCTAAAAACACCCTTACTAAACACAAATGCAGATGTAGATATAAGAGTATGATCATTCAAATCGACAAAAGGGTATTTATAGATGGATGATTGATTCTACAGACACATTAACATGAATTGCAAGCTATAAAAAATTCATTACCTTCTGGATGAAGAAGAATTGGATAAATCAACGGCCGATGTCTTCTCCTCCTTTGGTTTAATCGAGTATCGAAGTGGATAACGTAGCTTCGACTTCCCCGCACTTGCTGAAAACATCCCAGAAGCAACAAAGGATTTAACTATTATGTAGTTTAATTTGAAAAAGGAAAATTAAAATGGCGATAAGTAAAAAATTATCAATGCCTAATTTGGTTACAGTTTGGAAAGGGAACTAATCGAGAACATAAAACCGAAAGTCAATTGACTAGGGAAATCAATAAATTGAGAAACAGTGCAGAAAATTTCTTAGACAAAATGGATAAATATTCCAAAACTTAAAAGAAAAATAGAGGAAATGAGACTAGAAAAAGAACCAGAAATTGGAGCTGCAGATTGTTGTTCTTTGACAACTTCCTCCATGATTACCAGTTTCTCTTCCAAGTTTTATATCAAACAAAATTGGTGGGGGAAAAGCTTGATTGCTTGCTTGCTTTCAAGGCACGAACAAACCCAGAGTTTAGTATCTGAATTTTATAAGGAATTCTTATCCTTTCTTTTTAACCTTCAGATGATTCACTGCTTTACTTTTGACTCAGTCTCATGGGCGGGAAAATTTAGCAACCAAAAAAACCCTAGAATTATCGAAAAATCATAGTCCAATAGCTACTCGCAATTCTTTGTTTGTCATTTACTCGCTCGACAGTTGTTCCCTCATAGCGCTCTCCCTCTAATTAAACCGGCTCAGTTATACACGTGTCGGCTACGTGAAGGAGAGTGATATTTGTCAGGAGCGATGGGAGTGAAATGAAAACCGATAGAGGGGAACTGGTAGTAGGACCCATGCGCCCACACCTAAAACTCTAAAAGAGAGGGAAGGGAGAGAATACATCGAACGGTCACGCCATTTCGAATTTCAAAATTCGAAAAGGAAGAGAAAAATTAAGCACCGGTTTTTAAAACGGTTAAGATAATGACGATGATATCGAACATGTGGGCCAAACTCTCTTTATTGCTTTGTTGGGCTTATTGTTTAGGCTTTGGTCACCCATGGCCATACCACCACTAAGTATCAAACATAGAATGAATTTCTGGATTTGATTGGATGGTTGGCAAAGACATTATCAGTTGGAATTCAATATTTTAGGTGTAGCAGTCGGTGGTTTATGGAATTCAGGTCGATTCTTTTGACATTAGAATTTAATGCAGTAATACTTATGAAACAAGTGTTTGGCGGTCAGTGAAGAATGGCTTTCTGGATTAAAATACTGTCAGTAGCTTCATCGGCAGATACATTGCTTTCTTCTTTTTAAGATGCATATGCTCCAAGGGAGAGCAGGAAAGTGCTAAGTAATGCAACAATGATTGATTCAAAATCATCGCCTTGAATTGTTTTGATCAGAAAAATAGCATCAACTCACTTGCCTAACGCCTACAAAGCAGCAGGAGTCGTTTCTTTCGATTTTCTTTAACCTTCAAATCTCAATTCAGTAGGCCACTCGTTTTATCCTTCTTAAGTCTTCACCGGCTCCACTACTCGCTTCATTCAACCACTTACCATTGCATGCTTTAACTTTCACCCCCAACCCACAAAAACCAAAGAAAAGGAAAACCCCAAAGCCAAACTCAATCTATTTCCTTGGATTCTTTTCATCTTGGTTGTTTTCTCAAGTAGTCATCTCTCTGTAGACTCGTGTTTTCTCTGCTGGGTTTCTTTCAATTTGTCCCATTAGACCCTCCAAGAGAAGAAAGAAAGCAGCAGACAAGAAGCTGGTTCACCATAATGTCTTGCTTTCTTCTTCCCCCGTTGTTGCTTCTTCTTTGGGGTCTCAACCTCGTCCTTTGGATTGGACTGGATTGGTGGGATGAGTTCTTTCAGAGGATTTCAGGTCTTACACAATCAAGTTTTAAGCATTTATGTTGTGTTCACCTTCTACACACTGCCCTTCCTGGCTGCTTGACCTTTTATGTTATAGTGATCAAAGCAGCAGTTATTTGGCTTTGCTTCATTTTTTTATGAAATTTCACCACTTGGCGTCCAATTGGATTTACTGTAATTTGGTTGAATTTATATAACATGGCTGGTCTCTATGAATCTATAAGATTAAACAATGCCAGTTTACATTCTTGGCTAGTTGCCAGTTTAAAATTTTATGCATGGGGTATTTTTATTTTGTGTATTGTTTGCAGTGCTGGGAATTTGAGTATCTATCATCCTTTACTTCTCTAGTGGGGTGTGCTATGCATTGAGAATAGTTAGGCTTTTGTTTTGAGCTGTTTGTGATAAAAGTTCAGGTTTAGTACATGGTTAAACTACAGTTTTATTGAGTTGATTTATGTTTCACTTGGTAAATATTCCTTAGTAACCTAGTATGGATTTAATAGTCCTTGCTTTGTCTGCCATTGGCTTTAAGCTTTTGTTCATTATTCATCTTGTTTCGATCGAAACTCTGCTTTGTTCATATGAGTAGTCTATTAAGTGTTATATGGAAAAGGGATTTTAAGCATAGTGAGAGCATCTTAAAACTTGGGTAAGATAGGGTGGTCTCATAGAAACAATAATGACAAGCAAGAACATGAACTTAAACATAGCTTAAAAGGCCAAGGACAACCAGAGGGTGGCAAATTATATCGTTATGGAATACTTTGGCTGTTCCGAGTAGGTTTAAATTGATAATTGCTTTATCTTTTCTGAAATAAAGGGTTTTCCAGTGGTAAGGTATTTCCTTTTTCTTGTCACATGGAAGAAGAATCCTCTTTGGTAGTCGTTAACAGGATTGTTTCTCATCCCATATGGATCCTACATCGTCCAGTAACAATTGTGTCTTCAATCTTGCTTTATCATCCAAATTGTGCTCAGAACTTGACCATGAATACCGAAGTTGATATTGCCTTATTATTGATACTTGTGCACTCACGTCATTGCTTTTCTTTCTATTACTTTGAAAGTAGCTAATCGACTTCAGCCACTTGAATTTCCGACTTTTCTTTTTATTTCCCATCAAACGAATGCATCTTCTTCTGGAAATCCTAGTTATTCTTAGCATTATATTGGGGAAACCTGCATTTGGATTTTGCTATGATTCAATTGTCATCAATTTCTCTAAATCACTAATGTGCTTATAAATATCTCTGTTGTTGATTACACAAGAGCTTCAGGACATATTTTCCTGTGAATTGATATTAACATGCTTACTTATTGTATTAGTTTGGAAATGAGTGATGAAAGAAACGACGTCCTCACTTTGATCTTATTTTGAAAACAATGTGCTTTTGTTTTGATTTTAAATTGCAAATGCAACGACATATCCATGCATATATCACACATTAATTTGCTGCTACCTAATTTGTGATTGATTTTCATGGTTTAAGCTAATGATCTTTTATAAATTTTTTCATCCATGGAGCATGTTTTTATATTAGGCCAAAATGATTGTTTTTTTAAGAAATAACCTTGTTTCCATATAAGAGAAGAACTACAGCATGGTTCTGCAGGCAATTGTGGACCCCGATATGAGATTCCTTGATGTGATTACCGGCTGGCTGGGAAGTTTGAGCGATGCCATTGTCCTGAGGAAACAGGCTAAACGGGAAGAAGGAAGGTAAACATTTCGAAAGAGATGCCGGTTTTCCGCTACTGCAGATGGCTTTAGCAAGGCTTAAGGAGATGTGGAGAATAATAAACGGAGCAATGTGAATGCCTGATAAGAACAGATTGCCAAGAGTTGTTCTCGTTTGCTGCTTGTTGCACAACGTTCTTATCGATCTGGAGGACGACGTGGTTGACGATATGCCATTGTCACATCATCACAACACCGGCTATCACCGACAAAATTCCGATTCTTTCAACCAGTCTTCCTTGGTTACAAGAGAAACTCAAACTCTACTTCATGTGGGATTAATTGACACCTTGAAAGTGTCCTTCAGTCATCTCTGCGGCATGGTATTCTCGATTTCTAGACGTGATACAGAAAGGTAGTACTTTTTGACACTTGATCCATACTCACTCTAATCATCCGATGTTCTTATTTCAAACAACCATGAATATCTGGAAGCAGAAATTGAATTTCATCACTGGATATTTTAATTAAAAATGTTATAAATAGATATATCATATCATAATCGATAATTGACTAACATAACCTACTTAAACAATCAATTTTATAACTCAAAGGATGATCGATATAAAGAAACATAAGTATTTATTAAAATTTAGCAAAATTTAAAAATATGGATATACGTTTTTTGGGAACATAATTCTAATGCCCTCCTACATTCCTCCATTTTTTTAGCAATCACAATCCCAGCAGCTTAATCAAATCCTATTGCATTTGAGGCATTAGGAAAGATTCAGATAGTATATATATAAAATTTGGTTTGATGATGGGCTGATGCAATATATGGTCACATCTTGAAGGACTAAATTCTGTTCTATTTTCTTTTATTGCTGCTAAGTGTGTAATGAAATACTCGATATATACGTCTATAATATGAATTAACACCGTCCATGTTAACAACATATATTGAGTGCATCACTGACTTTGAAATCCCATCTTTTGACTTGTCATTTATATAATTTTCTTAATAATACTCGAGTCTCTCTCTTAAGTCACTATTTCTAGAAGAAAAATCTGTATTGATATTAATATATTTCATAGTTGCTAACCTAACTAGTCTAGTTTAATTTGCTTACCATACCATTTCATTTTTCATTATAAAATTTTATAGGTTAAGATTCAAACAACTCTGGATGGTCGTCGTCACCGCCGACGACTTATACTTTTAGCGGCGGCTGGGGAGGACGGCTGCTAATATTGGCCATACTTGGATTGCCATCTGTTCATTTCTTTGCTCTATCATCACGGCTTTACTTCCATACAAAAAAAGGGAGAATTCTTCCACCTTATTAATAATGTATTCAATGTAATCCTAACAATTCATCTATGTGTATCAGTATGTTGTACACGTTTTCTTCCAAAAGATAACCGTGCACGTGTAATGTGTTTCAATGTGTTATTTGGCCTAAAATCATGAGCATTTACGTTCACGTATATTGTTCACTTTCATTTTTCTTGTAAACTTGAGATCCTTTTGTTCGCATTCAGTACTTCAACTTTAGCAGCTCAACTATCCAAAACCAAAACTAGGCCTTCTAGAATTGTTTATCAGCTAGAATTAACCTATTCATTCTTTATAATATTTGTAATAAATATAAGTAATTGATTTTATTAAATAAAAATACAACAATATTATAAAGAGAGTTTAAACAATTAAAATAAACTAATTATATCCATCGTTCGTTTTCTTTGAAATCATTAGAATGTATAAATTAATCGGTAAATATCAAAACAGTTTCATACAAGAAAAGAACAAAAAAATCTACTAAACAATATAAAAATAATAAATACAAACAAACATCACTATTTACAGTGGAGAAAAAAAAACATTTTCCATACTAACAAAAAATATACTTAACAATGATAACATGTTAACAACCCGATTTTATCATCTTCAATCGTGACATATCTTTAATAATTACGAGCAATTATCAATATAAAATATTGGTAAAATAGACTACAAAACCACACCGTTAGTACTGACAAGAAAGATAAACAGTAATTGAAAAAGAACATATTGGTAAACCGTGTCGTGGTATAATCACTACCTTAGAAACGAATTCTCCCCGATGTGTGT